CCTTGGCAAGGCCGATGCCGATACCGATGCCCCCCCAGCGGTGCGCATTGTACTAGGGTATCTTGAAATGCCCTCTTTGGGGCTCGCGCTTTTTTTATTTCAACAAATAGAGAACGTTTTCCTGCTCAAGCTGTGTTGTTGGCCCCCTGGCTACAACAACAACATCAACGGCTCCCGATATTTCTTCACAACGTATGTGCGAATCGCGCTCTCCGCGGGGACCTCCACATTTTATGCAGGAATCGTGCTCGCGCGTGGAACTTCCTTGCAAGTTACGCAGACGCCGCGCCCTCGACACTCAGGAATCATGCTCTCGGTGTAGCCTTTCTCACGGTTTACTTTGGAATCGCGCTGTCGCTCGAGACTTCTTCGCAATTCATGCAAGGCTCACGTTTCAGCAACCCGTTTGCTCGACCTGGCCGCCTGGGCCCGGCTTCTCGACCCGCCCGCTAGGGTTTGCCCGCCCAATCTGCCCGTCTGGTTATACCACGTGTTTTCTTCTACTAGCGCCTCTCATGCTACATTCTCTGGTTATCCATCCTTTCCCCTTCCCTTTTTCATCCTTCTTCTCTTACCCTGTTTCAGGGGTTGCACTCAATTCACGTGGTAGGTAAGGAAGAGAGCCCCCCAAAGGGTACGATCGAAGACGAAGAGGGCGGGCACCGAGGGTGTGGGATATACGTGGTGCATGGCACGCGATCGGATGGGAACGACAAGTTGTCAAATAATTGTTGTTGTTTTTGGTGGTGCGTTTGTTGGTGTTATTGTTGTATGTGGCGAGTGACGCGCTGGCAGATAAAAAAGCAAACAGTCCTACAATGGTCGCTGTTGCTGTTGCTTTTGCTGTGTTTTGCTGCTGCTGTCGCCGTTGCCACCGCCGTAAGCTGTTAGGAGAGAGCGCCAAGAGGCCCAAGGTGGGAGAGGGGTGTCTGGGGGACTCGACTCGAGGTGGCTTGCGGCGGGGGGGTGGGAGGCAGTCGGGGGGCAGATCCAGGCGGGTCGCCCGTCTTTGGCGCCGGTCGAGGCGAGAGTGAGTGCCCATTCTCCCAGGACGTCTTGCTTCGCTTTTGCGGGCCTTAGGCGTCGGGTTGTCGATCTGTCGTCGTTCTCCACGTGCACCTCCCAGACTTCCAGTTCCATGAACAAGAAAGGCCGAGTCTTTTCCCGCATTTCGGCCGTGGGCTGGCCGCTGCTGGGCCCGGGGGGGGTGGAGCAAGACGACTCGGCATGCGGTACAGGTCCTGCGGAAGAGGGGGCCCCGCCTTGAAACAAAAACGACGTGGGAGACCGTGATCGTTTTCTTATTCATTGTTTTGCCGATGGGCGCGGGTCCTCGCACCCCCCCGTCCACCCCCCCTGCCCCATGGAGTAGATCTTGGCTCTCTTTGGCGCCTGTTTCAAGTGGGTGGAGCCTCTCCCAGAGGACGCACTGTTCCCGAGCAGCCGCACCGAGCAGAGGTCCGGAGCCAGACCCCCCTCCCTCCCCCCCCCTTCCGCCCATGTGCAGTGTCGAGACGCCGAAGGAGAGAACGCTGACACAGGTGGGCTCGCCGCCTCTGGCACCTCCCATCTGCCCCCCGCCCTCTGCCAGGGCACCCGTGCGCGGGCCGTGCCACCGTGCCCCGTGCCCCCCCGCCCCCCCCGTGCGGGAGGCGGTGCCGGCCGCCGCAAGTCCGCCCCGAGTCCTGCCCCGAAGTTTTTCCCGCGGCCAGAGTGGAGGCTCATGGGCGAGGAAGAGCAGGAGCAGGGGGAGGAGGACGACGAGGCGGAGGAGGAGGAGGAGGAGGAAAGAGAAGGAAGAAGAAGGAGAGGAGGAGGAGGAGGAAGAGGAGGAGGTGGAGAAGCAAGAACAGGAGGAGGAAGAGGAGGAAAAGGAGGAGGAGTACCAGTTTACCAGCCTGGAATATATCCATATCCCTATTGCTGGGCATCTCCTCATCACGATGCAAATCTTGGGGATTCCCTTACTTTTTGAGGGCGCTTCCCTCAGATTGTCATCGCCTTTTGGCGTGTCAATCTTGGGGATAGGGATATGTTCGAGGCTGGTAATCAGTGGAGCCAGTAGTACACACCCGAGATCGTAAAGTAACCATGTGCTACACATCTGAGTTTCGGCGCTCCGGCGCCCCCGCCGAGCTCTTGGAGGGCCGCCCCCCTGGGGCGCACATGGGCGTCTGTCCTGTCCTGCCCTGAGGCCTGTTCGCAGTCTTCCCCTTCGGTTTCTCCTCCCCTCTCGGCCCCGGCAGCTGCTTGAAGCACAGCCTGGTGACAACGTTCAAGATCCAGCGCGCCCGTCGTTGTGTGTGTTGCTGCCAGTGCCTCCCTTGTTCCTCCTCTCTCTCTCTCTCCTCCTCCTCCTCCTCCTCCACCTCCTCCTCCTGCTCCTCCTCCTCTTCCTCCTCCTCCTCCTTCTCCTCCTCCTCCTCCTCTCCTCGGCCCCTCCACTCTTCCATGTCCCTCCTCCACCAGTGGCTTCCTCCATCCCCCCCCCCTCCCCGAGGTACGCGAGCCGGCGCGGCTTCCAAGAGTTCTTCCGCCAGTGGAATAAGGTCCAGGGCGACGCCGAACGGGCTGCCGCAGGGAAGCAGAATTCCCCCAGCAGTGGTTGCACGGAGGGGTTTCAGTTCAGCTGGAAAGTACAGTCGACCTGCACAGTAAGGATGGGCACCCTTCCCAAGGATACCCTTGCATCCTTGCCTCCTCGGCACATCCTTCGCCACTCTCGTTGGTTCTGCGCCCCCGCTCGAAAAGCTTCGAGATGGGCTTCCAAGGTCCTTGCATCCTTCTCGTGCATCCTTACGGTATGGGTTAACTGTAATTGCGTTGGCCGCGCCACGAGATCGGGGCGTGACCCGTCCCCCTGAGCGGCTCGCTCCCTCCGCCCTCTCCTTCGGCCGCGTCCTCCGTCTGTCCCCCCCCTCCTGCACGGCACACTGCCCTGAAACGGCGCCCCCGTTTAGGCCTTTCCGCTAGCGCAGACGACGCCTTCCTCGCCGCCGTCGCGAACATTGCGTTGGAGGAGGAGATGGAGAGTGAGATGGATGATGATGATGATGATGATGATGATGATGATGATGATGATGATGATGATGCTGATGCTGATGCTGATGCTGATGCTGATGCTGATGCTGATGCTGATGCTGATGCTGATGCTGATGCTGATGCTGGATGATGATGATGATGATGATGATGATGATGATGATCTGATGATGATGATGATGATGCTGATGCTGATGCTGATGCTTATGCTGATGCTGATGCTGATGCTGATGCTGATGCTGATGCTGATGATGCTGCTGATGATGGTGATGACGATGCTGATAATGATGATTATGATGCTGATGATGATGATGATGGTGATGGTGATGGTGATGGCGATGGTGATGGTGGTGATGGTGATGGTGATGCTGATGATGGTGGTGATGATGATGCTGATGATGATACTGATGATGTTGATGTTGATGATGATGATGATGATGCTGATGCTGATGCTGATGCTGATGCTGGTGCTGGTGATGGTGATGGTGATGGTGATGGTGATGGTGATGGTGATGGTGGTGATGATGATGATGATGATGATGACGATGACGATGAAGATGACGATGACGATGATGATGATGATGATGATGATGGTGATGGTGATGATGATGATGATGATGATGATGCTGATGCTGATGCTGATGCTGATGCTGATGCTGATGCTGATGCTGAGGAGGAGGAGGAACAGGAGGAGGAGGAGGAGGAGGAGGAGGGGGAGGGGGAGGAGGTAGGAGGAGGAGGAGGAGAAGGAGGAGGTGAAGGAGGAGAAGAAGGAGGAGGAGGAGGTGGAAGAGGAGGAGGAGAAGAAGGAGGAGGAGGAAAAACAGGAGGAGGAGGAGGAGGAGGAGGAGGAGGAGGATCTGGAGGAGGAAACGGTGGCCACGCCGGCGCCACGCCCCTGTTCCCCTTCGTCCCCTTCGCCCCCCGCCCGGGCCGCCCGCGCTGTTGCGCTGCTCTCGTTTTTCTCACCCTTCCCCCCGGCCTGGCCTGGCTCAGGGGCCGTTGCCCACAGGCCGTGGGTTTGTACAGCATGAGCCAGAGATGACTGCGCCCTTACACGCCTGACCCCGGTGGTCATCCGTCATAACCAGAAGGGATGGGTGCCCGGGTCGCGGTTGAACCAGGAGGAGGAGGAGAAGGAGGAGGAGGTCCCTGCGCTGGTATCCTGGGCTTTCGCTCCAGGCCCCGTGGGCTGGCGCCCGTGGCCGCCTCGCGCTCCGCTGCGCCAGGGCATCTCGTTGTCGCTGGGGGGTGTCGACTGTGGTGGCCGCCCCGTGCGCCGCCAGGGGGCTTCCGCGCCGATCCGAGAAGTCGGCGCGGACCTCCTGCTCCTCCTCCTCCTCCTCCTCCTCCTCCCCCTCCTCCCCCTCCTCCTCCTCCTCCTCCTCCTCCTCCTCCTCCTCCTCCTCCTCTATCATATACTATTCACTACCTCTCCCAGCCATTGTCCGTCCCCCGATTCCACGATCCTTGCATCCTTGCCTCAGGCAATCGCAACCCTGGATCCAGGGGGGCGTGGATCAGCGACGGGTCCCGTTCCCATGGGGAAATCGCGGGCTCTCGCCGCCGAGCGAGGCGGTACGAGCCGCAGTTTGGGGGAGGGCGCCTCCCCCGATCCATGGATTTGGCGACCGCGCGCCGAATCCATGGATCGGGCCCGCGCCCGGGTATCTCTCGTCGCGGGGTCGTGTCGACTGCTGGCCGCCCTGGTGCGCAGCAGGGGGCTGCGCTCTTCCTTGGGCAGCCGCAGCAGGCTGCTGCCCGTGGCAACTCCTGTAATTCAGGCCCGTCCCTCTACAGGAGGAGCATTCCACAGAGAGTCAAAGCATAGTCTGGGGACGACGTGCACTCGCCGACTTTGGTAGCATTCCAAAAATAGTTGTCAAACATGATATACAAAAGTCTCCAACCTTCTACAATTTGAGTTGATTTGTCAGCTCTATTTCTGGGATCTCTCGGCGGCGCCTTCGGTGCCGCCCCTGGCGCGCTCCGCGCGCCAGGGAGGGGGGTTCAGCGCAGATCGAAGAAGTCAACGCGGAGCGCCACAAGTTTACGTTCATGCCGTTCTGTCTTCTCCTGTGTTTGCCGTGTGTTTCTATGTTTCAGTCTTCTCTGACGCGCTTTCATTTTTGCTCTAACATCTGCCTGTAGGAGGACATGCCCGACCCACGGCCAGGCCAGTCCGTGCGTTGGCCTGGCGCTCCGGGTTTTCGCCCAGCGGCAGCTTCGCTGCTGCCTGCCCCTCTCTGCCGGGGTCCACGCGGTGGTCGGGCTGTCCGGGTGGTTGCCCGACTGCCGCCAGCGGCTGGCTTCCCAAGATGTAGGCATAGTTTTTCCACCGCGATCACTGCACACACACATTGAGACACATATTAAATAGATTGCGCCCCATCGATTGCGCAACGTTGACTGCATTACACAGATGGCATCACAAATATTGCCCCACATAGTATGCTGCACGCTGATCAGCATAGGCTGCATCAGCGATTGCACACATTAGATGGCACACATCGTTTTGACGTAATTCTCTGCGGGGCAATCTAGGTGGTTCAAACAATGTGGTGCAACTCAGGTGGTGCAATCCGTCTGGTGCAATCCATGTAGTGCAATCCGCGATGTGCAAAACAATGCAATGCAGTGCAAAGCAATGCAAATCAGGGTGCTGCGATAGGTTGCAGTGTCAGGCAACACAAGACAAGGCAATGCAAGACATTGCCAAGCAGTGCGATTGCGACTGCCATGCAATGCAATGCAAACGTTATGCACAGCGGTGCAATTCCAAAGGATAATGCGATGCGATGCACTGGGCGGGAGGGGGGGTGCAGCGAGGCGGCGGCGACGGGCGGGAACGGGGCCGCCGGGGCGGAAAACGGGATTGTAACTGGGAGCAGCTGTGGGGGTGCCGTATTTTCAATGCATGTGTACGAATCTATGTGTATATATATTTATATATATATATACAACATTTATAATCACACACACATATATATATATATATGTACATACACACATAACTGAATGTAAGTTGGTAGGGGTCCCAGAGGGGCCCGAAGTGCTCCATAACGGGTCCCGGGCCCTTTTCCCCCCTCATTGGCCAGGTTTTGCCTTCCCATGCTTGTCCGGCGAGGCTTCAAATGGGTCGACGACGGCCCCAGGTGAGACGGAGACGGCCGAAAAGTGATCCAAGATTGCTCAAGTGGGCCCCAACACAAAAAAAACTTACAGGGAGCCCAAGAGACCCCCAAGACGGCTTGTGAAGGCCCCGAGAAGGCCCTCCCGACGCGCCAAGGCGCAACATTCAATCGTTTTCCTTTGGTTTTGACGGTTTGTGGTGTTTCTTTTCAAATAGGCCCGAGAGGTTCGTGCGATGGCCACCAGGGCTCCAGGGTGGCCCCCAGGGCCCCGAAGACGATTTCAGGATGCTCCGAAGACGGCCCGACAGCACACCGAGAGGGCCCAAAAGGGATCCGCAATCAAGCCTCCGAAGGCGTCAGACGGGGGCCACGAACTCGCTAAGACAGCCAATGAGGCTTCAGGAGGCCCCCAGGAAGCTCCAAAAAGGCCTCCAAGAGGACGCAAGAGGCCTCCAAGAGGCCCCAGAGAGATACCCAGGAGGCTTCAAGGCGGCCCCACGACATGCCCACATTACCTTGTGACGTACTCATCTGCAGGACGTGACGAGATGAGATGGCCCAGAACATATGACTGATAACCACAACGGGTGCGCCGTTGGTTGTGCGAGCTCTATGGGAAGCGCTGGCGTTGCACAAATCACAGGACAGCCACAGAAGGACCACGATTGAGGCCCCAGGCTCGAAGAGGAACTGGGGGTGGGAACGAGGGGGAGGAACACGCTGGAAGAGGTGCCGAGCGCTTAAAAATCGACAGCGCAGCGAGACGGTAGAAGGCGGAAGATGACCACAACGAAACAGGCAGGATGGGGAAGGAACGTAGCTATCATTTTCCAAAGGCACGCTGGACGAGCAGCGCAGCCCGCCCCATGTCGTTCTGGTGGTCCAGAGCGTCAGCTGTTCATAGCTAGTGCGAGAAGCGAGCTTTGCCGAGCTCGCCCGCCAGGTTCTCCGTTTCCTTGGACACCTTGCAGTGCGGTAGCTCAACGCCCGCAGGCGCGCCGCCAAGTCTTCGAGCGGCTCGTGGGAACAAGAAACGAATCGAGGCTAATCTAAGTCTGCGTGGGGCGTCACTGTGCTGGACACCGGCAGCCCTCGGAAGTGGCGACGGCTTCGCAGTTCGCAGCCCTCCAGGGATGGTCAAGGCTAATCTGACTCAGCGTGGGGCGTCCCTCCGTTGGGCCCCCCCAGAGTCCATCCACAATGGCGACAGTTTCGCAGATCGCAGTTTCCCAGGGCTGGCGAGGTCTAGTCTGAGTTTGCGTAGGGCGTCATTCAGCAGGACCCCCCAACAGCTTTGAAAAAGTGGCGATCTTTTCATATTTCGCAGCCCCCCTTCGCAGATCGCAGCCCCCCCAGGGACGGCGAGGTTGAATTTCGGTTTGCGAGAGTCGTCGCCCCGCTGGACACATGGCGTTCAGCCCATCCCGCCTCCGCGCTTGGGTCGTGAGCCCTAGGCCGGGTTTTTAGGATGTTTGTTGGGATGTTGCGGGGGGCTCTTGGGTGCCTCGTGCGTGTTATTTTGAGGCCTTTTGAGTCCCGGTTTGGGGCCTCTTGTGGGGCCTCTTGAGGGCGTCCTTCATCTGAGTAGCCACCCATGTCGATCTCACTACATTTTTGTCCATCGAGGCACCATCGGGACGACCACTAGGTACATACGGTTCTATACATCAGTGTATAGTATAGACATGTACTGCATATTTATTGGCAGGGGTACCCATTCCTTTGTCGGTTTCGGGGCAACCTCTTGGGAAGCAGTCGGCGCATTCATCGGATCAATCAGTCAGTACAGAATTTCTCTTCTATCCATTGGTCTCACGATCCGTCGGTCTCACAAAGACTTTCATCGAGACAACAATCGGGCCGGAACCATCGGGACACAACGGGACGCAATTATCGGGACAACCCTCGGGGCAACCATCGAGACAACCATCGGGCCGAACCAGCGAGACGATCCACAGGACAACCATCGGGTTGACCATCAAGACAACCATACGAACACCCATCTGGACAACCACCGGGACAGAAATCGGGACCACCATCGGGACAGCCAGCGGGACAGCCATCGAGACAGCCCTCGGGACAACCATCTGGACGCAACTATCGGAACACAACCATCGGGATTCAACCATCGGGACAACTCTCGGGGCAACCATTGGGACACAAGCATCGGGACAACCATCGGGACAACCATTAGGACAGCTAGCGGGACAAACATCGGGACAATTATCGGGACAACCGTTGGGACAACCGTCGGGACGAACCACCGGGACGAACCAAGCGAAAACCATCGGGACAACAACCAGAAAGGCCAACAAGGCTTACGGCACAGCCATCGGGACAAACCCGGCAGCGGCCGGCGACCGGGGGCGATTCAATTTTTGTCCGAGTAGATCTCGGTTTGTGGAGGAACTCGCCAAGCAGTGCCTCGCGTCGCCCGCGCGGTCGTCACACAGGAAACGAAACGTTTTCTCAGTTAGGGCACCTCACGTCTCACTTGGCTCTCATCTTGGAACCTCCGATGACCATTTTTGTTACTAGTGTTTAGTTATAAGCTGTTAGGACGGTTTTCAGGGGCACTCCTTAAATTTTCTGGGGGAACTATTAGGGATAATGTTTAACATACTTTCTCCAACTACCTTCCTGAGAAAATGTTGGTTTGTGTAAAAAAACGGTTTTAGGAGTTTGCCGGACCGTGCGCTGCACTACTGCGAGGGCCCCCCCCTGCACGTGCCACAGCAATCGAGACAACACGGGCCACGGCACACGAGTTATCACGAGTGCCCAGTTGCTTGTCTTGCTGAGGGCCAAAACTGCTCGATGGGGTTTCCCATCGTTCATGGGCTTGTTTTCCACAACCACCACCATACATTGGAGGGGGGATGGAGGAGGAAGAGGAGGAGGAGGAGGAGGAGGAGGAGGACCCCCTTCCCCTCCTACTTATGGTGGTGGCGGTGGAAAACAAGCCCACCAATTTTTGCGTGCTCTTCTGGCCTCCTGTGGGTATCAGCTGAAGGGTGCTCGCCTCAACTGGTCCACGTCGCCTTCGGCACGGCGCGGGCTCGTGTCTGCACAAGCGTGCACCCATCCTAGGCTCAGGGCGTGCCTGGGCATGATCGGTGCGAGTGCGCAGCTTTTGCCGTCCTCAAGGTGGCCGTCGACACGGTGCGCCAGCGCGCGGGGTATGGCGCTCTCGAGGTCGCCAAGCTGAGGGCCGCCTTCAACCAGTTCGACAAGGCCGCTCTCGGCACCCCTTCGGCCGCGGGCGGCCTTCGGCGGGGTTCGGTGGCCTGGGCATGGGCGCGGCGCGGCCGGCGGATGCGGCGGCGACGCCGGCGGCGGCGCCGGCGTCGTTGTCGAGGCGGGCGCGGGGAATGTTGTCTGAGGATGGGGGTGGGCGGGAGAGGATGATGTGATGCAGGACAGATGATGAGGACGGAGTTGTGGTGAGGATGGGGTGATGGGGAAAGATGGAGAAACATGGAAGATGGAGGAGAGGGAGGTGGAGGAGGAGGCTCGACGAGGAGGAGGAATGAGGAGGAGGAGGACGAGGAGGAGGAGGGCAGGATAGCGGAGGATGGAGGAGGGCGCAGAGGACAGGGGGGGAGGAGGATGGGTCATGAACGTTTGAGGACGAGGGCAGGGGGAGGCATGCGAAGTTGCGCCGAGCACCCTGCAGCCCGCAGAATTCCCAGGCGTCCAGGGCAGCATTGAGCCCTCTGAGAGCCCCTCCCCCCGTTCCTCGCCTTCTGGTCCCTGTGCACAGCGTCGCCCCGCTGCACCCTCGGGGGGTGCGTGCGGCGACGAGGCCTGGGCGTCCCCGTGCGGATGCCATCCTCTGGCGCGGCTGGCCCTGCTCCTGCTTCTCTTTCCCTGCCCACGGCCTGGCGCCAGTCGTTGACCCGCGCTTGCGCCAGCTTCCCGCTCGCTCCTCCCTTCTCAGGGCTCGTTTCGATTCCGCCGATTCGATTCGATTCGATTCCGATGGTTGTTGATTCCGATTCGATTCGGCTTTGGATTCCGATTTGGGCTCCGATGTCTCAACGGAGGCCCACTAGCCTGCCGATTTCCGCCGATTCGGCTTTTCCGCACTCGGCTGCCGATTTCCGTCGATCCGAGTCCTTTCGATCGCCGATCCGACTTGTCGACTGGATTCTGGGCTCTCCTGCCTTCTGGCTCCAGACTGGCGGGGGGCGTGGGCACGCTCACGAGCGCACGCCGGCAGCGGCGCCTCGAGAGCGAGGACGGCCCTGGGGGCAGCCCGAGCGCGCCGACACCGCCTCCCCCCCGCCGCCCAGCGGGCTCGGCCCGCCGCGGCTTCGCGCGGGGCTGCTCCACGAGTTCGCGGCAGCCCGCGCCGCTGCCCGAAGAAGAAGACGCCGTAAGCATAAACTTCAGTTGGGCCTGTCCCTCTACGGGAGGCATTTTCAAAAATAGTGACAACATAGTCTGGGAACGACCTTTCGATTATTGATCACGGTTTTTGAATGTGTCTTGAATATGTTGTTTTTCGTCCACAGTCCGTCTGTAGGGAACATGCCCGACCTAAACATAAGTTGTTCGCGCTTCTTGCGGATTTCTTGGATCCGCGCAGAGCGCCAACAGTTGTTATGTTTTTGGCGCTTCTTCTTCTAGTGATGTTGCCTCGCGCAAGCGCCACGCTGGCGGAAGGCGCCGCAACCGACCAAGTGCAACGGCTCTCTCAGTATCGATCAGACATGCCCCTGCCCACGGGTCGCCCCCCAAAACAAAACATTGGTTCTCGGCTTCTCGGCGGTGGCGGTGGCCTCAGTGTCTCGAGGCCGAGATCGTCTACAGAATTGATTCACCCAAGAATTTCTTGTCCGTCGAATCCACAAGCAATACGTAGAAATCGCGTAGAACTGCAAACATTCTACGCATTTGTTTTGTTGGATTCGACAGGAGATCCATTTTTGGGTAACTCGATCTGGTAGTCGATCCCCATACTCGAGTCTTCCCTCTGAGGCCTCAAGCAGGCGCGGGTTGCCCTCAGCTTTGGGGGGCCACCTGGGAGCCCGCTGCAGGTCCTGCGGCGCCTTGTAGTGGTGGGAGGGCTCCAGGACACATGTTGTTGTATTCCTTGGCGATGCAGTCGAAGCTGGTCAGTAGGTCGACCATGCCAACTGTGTTTCGCGACCCATACCTTCGACCCGTGCCTTCTACATCTCTATGGCAATGTGGCCCCCGGAAGGGACGTGTGTCCTCTTGGCGTGTCCTCTCCAATCAACCCCGATTGTAAAGGGCGTGACCGGGGAAGGGGGCAGAAGGGGGAGGGGGCCGGCCACGCCACGGTTCGCGTCGGCGCCGTCCGGGATCGCCACCCGTAGAGGCTGATTCCTGCGCGGCGCCAGCGCGAATCGTGACGTGACCAGGAGGGGGGAGGGTTAGGGGGGGGTAAGGGGGGGGGGGGGGCCGGGGCCGGGCACGGGCGCTGCCGCAAAGAGCAGCATCTCAAAAGCAGGGTCCGCGGGAGGCCCGGCGGTCCTTCCTGAGAAGCCACTTTCTGGCCACGCGCAGAAGGGGGTATGGGGGAGGGGGGAAGGCTTCTTAGAAGCACCCCTGCTTCTTGGAAGGCGCGGGCCTTCTTTGTAGATGTAAGGCTGGCGCCTTCTAAGAAGCAGCCTCCTTCTAAGAAGCCTTCCCCCCTCCCCCTAATTACCCCCTTGTGCGCGCCGCCAAACTTCGGCCGCCCCATATGGGGGCCGCAGCCGCTGCTGGAGCGCACCAGCTGCGGGGCCTCTCCTCGGCCGCCTTGCCTGCGGCGGCAGGGTGCGCCGCGCGCTCGGCGACGCTCTCCCGGCCGCCTGCCCCGCGGTCTCGGGCCTCGGTTCTGCTGCGGTCGGTCCCGCCGCCAGGGCTCCTGTGGACTTCTCGTCGGCTCGGGTCGCTCCGATTCCGAGTCCGAGTCCGACTCGACCTCGAGTTCCGATTCGATCTCGAGTTCCGATTCCGATTCCGATTCCGATTCCGACTCGACCTCGGGTTCCGACTCGGGCGTCGGTTTCTCAATGGAGGCCTTGATTATCATCCTGCCACTGTCCGCCGTTTCGACTTCTCCCGACTTGGCTGTCGCTTTCCGCCGAGCCGATTCGTGTGCATCGCCGATCCGAAACGGATTCGATTCTGGGCTCTGCTGCCTCCGCTCGTGGTCTCTTCCCTGGCCTCTGCTTCGCTTCGTTGTTCGGGCTCTCGTCGGTTCCCCTTCGAGGCCAATTGCTGGTGTTGTTGCCAGGAAGCTAGCTCGTGATGCCCACCTGCAAATAATAGCTCCCCACGTCCGCTATGACGCCCTTCAGCGGATAGACAAAAGCCAGAGCAAGGGGAAGGGGTGGGATGAAGGTGTAGGAAGTCAGATATTGCGCGAGCACACCTAGCTTGTCCACCCACCTCTCTGCCTCTCTGGATGTCCTTGGAAAGGCCACCAGAGGTTCCTGAAGCTTTTTCCGTATGTCCCCCGATGTTTCCCCGTTGCGCAACAATCACGACCGTGTTTTTACAACATATATGTATATTTGTGTTGTATAAGTACATCATAAAACATGCCCGAGACCTGCCCAATCCTTTCTCAACGCAAGGCGGCTATTTATATAGACGCTCCATACAATAGAGCACATTGCGAGATATACGACACTCTGACATTCTTCGCCGAACGTTGTCGGGCCACGCGCGTCGCGCGCCTGCGCAGGAGCAGGCTACTGAGGGCAACGCCGTTTGCAACGTAACGTTCCGGCGCTCTGCGTTCTGTGATGCAACAGCGTCGCGCACTAAATGACGCGACAGCGCCACGCGTCATGTGGGCGCTTCGCACTCCGCCGTGCCTTCGAGGAACCCACGAAAGTGGCAACGGTTGCGCAGTGCGCAGCCTCCCAGAGAGCCGCGAGATCTCACATGAGTTGTGCTGCCCTTGTCTCCGTCAAGCATCCCTGGAGCCCACGACAGTGATATGACACCTGCGCAGTTCGCAACCACCTTAGGGCCGCGAGGTCCCGTAGTGATTCGCGCTGGCCTCCATCCAGCTGGATTTCCCATGAGCCCACGACAGTGGCGACAGTTGCGCAGGTCGCGCCCTCCCAGGAACCTACGAAGGCGGCGACAGCTGCGCAGATCGCAGCCACCTTAGGGCCGCGAGGTCTCGGCTGGATGCGCGTACTTCCCTAATCCGCCGTGCCTCCCAAGAGCCCACGAGAGTGGCAATCATTGTGCAGTTCTCAGCCACCCAGGGAGCCGCGAGGTTTCGGCTGGATGCGCGTACCCCCTAGTCCGCCGTGCCTCCCAGGAGCCCACGACAATGGCGACAGTTGCACAGTTCGCAGACACCCAGAGAGCCGCGAGGTCTCGGCTGGTTGCGCGTACTCCCCTACTCCGCCGTGCCTCCCAGGAGCCCACGACAATGGCGACCATTGCGCAGATCGCAGCCACCCAGGGAGCCGCGAGGTTTCTGCTGGATGCCCGTAAACCTCCACTCGGGTGACCCTTCCAGGAGCATTCGAAAGTGGTGACAGTTGCGCAGTTCGCTGCTTCCCAGGGCGCCGCGCGGTCTCGTCCGGGTTTGCATGGCAACTAAGATTGCTGGACCTCCCAGGAGTCCACGAATGTGGCGACAGTTGCGCAGTTCGCAGACACCCAGAGCAGCGGCGTGTCGTCTGGGTCCGCGTGGCTCCCGATTCCGCTGGACCTCACGGGGGCCCACGAAAGTGGCGACAGTTGCACAGTTCGCATCCACCCAGGGAGCAGTGAGGTGTCGGCATGCTGCGCCTACTCTTGTTCCACCGTGCCTCCCTTCAACGCACGACAATGGCGACCGTTGCGCCGTTCCCAGCCACCCATGGAGCCGTGAAGTTTCGGCTGCAGGTTCGCACTCCCCTACTCCGCCATGCCTCCCAAAAGCCCGCGAGAATGGCGACCTTTGCGCAGTTCGCTTCTCCCCAGGGGGTCGCGAGGGCTCGTCTAGGTTGCCCGGCACCCGACTTCGCTGGACCTCCAGGAGCACACGAAAGTGGCGACTGTTGCGCAGTTTTTCAGCCACCCAGAGCAGCGGCGTGTCGTCTGGGTCCGCGGGGCCCCCGATGCCGATGGGCCTCCCAGGAGCACACCGCAATGCCTCACACGAGCCCCCGATCATGGCGACCACTGATCGCGGCCGCTGCCAACCACCCAGGAAGCCGCGAGGTCTCGTCTGGAAGCGCGTAAACCTGCCCATTGGTGGACCTCCCAGGAGCCCGCGAAAGTGGCGACAGTTTGGCAGTTCGCTGCTTCCCAGGGAGCCGCGAGGACTTGCCTGGGTTCGCATGGCATCCGACTTCGCTCAACCTCCCACGAACCCACGAAGGTGGCGACAGTTGCGCGGTTCGCTGCTCCCCAGGGAGCCGCGGGGTCTCGGCTAGATGCGCGTACTCCCGTATTCCGCCGTGCTTCCCATGAGCTCAAGAAAGTCATGACGGTTGCGCAGTTCGCAGCCGTCCAAGGGAGTTGCGAGGACTCGGCTAGATGTGCGTACCCCCCCTGCTCCGCCCTGCCTCCCAGGAGCCCGCGAAAGTGATGACAGTTGCGCAGTTCGCAGCCGCCCCAGGGAGCCGCGAGGTCTCGGCTGGATGCGCGTACTCCCCTTTTCAGCCGTGCTTCCCACGAGCCCACGAATGTGGCGTCAATACCTCAGTTCGCAGCCACCCAGGGAGCCGCGAGGTCTCGGCTGGATGCGCGTACTCCCAGACTCCTCCGTGCCTCCCCGGAGCCCGCGAGAACGGCGACAGTTGCGAAGTTTGCAGCCATCAGGGGAGCAGCGCAGGAGGAGGGGGGAGGAGAAAGAAGATGCTAGCGACCGCAGTTGTTTACTCAAGTCGAGAACCCAACACAGGAGGGTTGAGAACAGATCTGTTCCTGGGGCTGTCGCGGGGCCTAGGGACCCTCAAGATCAACATTCTCGTCGGGATGAGAAATCGGTGATGGGGCAGGGTTCAGATTTCCGTGGGCCGACGTTGCAAAGCAAAATCGCGACGCCGAAGTTCTGGGTCGCCGGAGGCGTCCAGGGGCTCCCAAAAATTTCCGACCCTCTCTGAGTATCGTTTACCGATCCCCATCCCTAGCGGCGTGGCCTGGGCCCCACTGACCGATTTACCCCCCTAGATGGGGATATAGGCCGTTCCCTTCGGGTTTGGAGGGGCGTATCCCCAACTTGGGTGGTAATTTGGTGGGGGTCTCGAAGGGGATGAGGATGGGGATGGGGATTGGTTTAACGATACTGACTCTCGATGCCGGATCCCCAACCCTCGGCCCTCCTCGATCCTCTGGCCTCCCCCCCGCTCTCGGCGGCACCGTGCGTGATGGGTATTCACTAACGGGTACTTTGGAAAGTTGCCGGAAGTTGCAACTTCAGGGCCTCCTTCTGGCATTGCAGCGTTTCCCACATCGGGGAGGATTGGCTTCGCCGGGTCACTGGCCAAAAGTACCCGTCAGAGGAGTCCCCACGAAATGGGCGTTGATTATTTTTCTTTCGCCTCATCCTCACGTTCCCCGTGCCGCCATGCAGGATGGGAACGGTACGATAGAGAGCACGGAGTTCAGAGACCTCATCGCGAATTACTTCCCAGACGCCACCAAGTCCCGCCAAGGTCAGAAAGATGTCCTCAAGATGATGAAGGACTCCTTCTTCTCCTCCTCCTCCTTCTCCTCGGAGCTGAACGCGAAGCATCGTCTACACATCAAGCCGTCGTCCCGTACACTGCTTCAGGCATCACCGGTGTCAAAGCCGGACAGGGACATCATTGATGAGGATGGCCATGTTTAGTTGTACCCGGCGTCGGCTAGAGTTCTAGGGCCAACTATTTCTGTCAAGGGCTCGGTTTTCGAGGACGTTCAGAAGACGTGGGGTACGATCAAGAACATATTTTGTAAGAATTCGAAGTTCTTCACGAACAGTTTGATCCCAATGAAACGAAGGCTCCAGATCAGCCGCGTGGCCGCCAAACCAGGCTACGATCAGACATCTGGACCTTAAAGAGTTCACCGTGCTGTGTTGGATGGTGAAGATCAGGAAACAGCCGCATGAAGAACTGAAATCCTTTCTGACCCGCCGCGCCAGGTGCCTCCGTGGGACTCTACAGTCCCAGTGGTCCCAAGTCTTCCTAGCTTCCTGCATCTCGTGGTTATCTCACGTACAGCGCCACAGCTCTTCTCTAATAGCTAGGTGTTTCCGCGAGCAGGGACTGGAATTGGTCCAGAGCCAGCGTAGGACATGGATTTCCCGAACAGTGTTTCTTCAAAGACCTACACGAGATCTGCGAGAGGGCGTGTTGCGAGGTGGGATTCGGGCTGGTCTAGTCAGTTCAATCCACGAGGCTCCTGCGACCAGGATTTTGTCCAGCAGTTTGCCCGAGACGTCTTGGTTTTTCTTGGGGGCAAAGACCGCCTTCGCAGTTTGTGATATGGAGCATGACATCCCGAGCGTGTCCTCATAAGCACCGGGTGAATTTAGTGCCCAATACAAAGTTGCACCCATGGATCGTTCGCTCTCCCTCCTGTTGTCTTGTGTGTTTCGTGTCGTTCTTCTTCCCGTGTTTTGTCTCCTTCCCTCATGGATGACAAGTCGTTTCTGATGCAATTGGTTTTCAAGTTTCCTCGAAGACCGCACTGGGGGGCGCCTCATCATCATTCTCCTCCTCCTCCTCCTCCTCCTCTTTTTTTCGGGCCCTTTTCGGCCATCTGGATGTCCAGAGCACTCCAGAGAACTCTTGAAACGTCGTCGTCCGCCTTCTATCAGCCCCTGAGGGCTCATAGGGGCCCGTAGGCAGTCCACGCCGCTAGCGGTGGTGGTCTGTGCTCCACTCCCCGCGCAGCGGGCAAGTTAGCAAGAATCAGCGCTGCACACGCCCTCCGAGCACGCGTTGCCCTGCCTCCTCTTTCTCTCCCTCTTCATCCTTCTCCTCCTCATTATTCTTTTCATCCTCATCCCCCTCATCCTCCTCCTTGCCACTCTCTGTCTCCTCAAATTGTTCTTCCTCCTCCTCCTCCTCCTCCTCCTCCTCCTCCTCCTCCTCCTCCTCCCCGCGGCGTGCGTTTGGCGCCCTGCCCTGGGCACCACCACGCGGGGAGCGCCGCACCTGGCGCACGCCCAGGCGGCGCGCATCAGGGCGCCCTGCTTCCTGCGGCCGCTTGCCGGGCCCGCGGGCCCCCGGACGGCTCGGTGCTTTCGAGCTGCTCTCGAGCCGCGGGCTCTCGACGCCGTTCCGTAGCTTCGGATCCTGGCGCTGCTGTTGTCTTCAGTCGGTCGTGCTCCATGTGGACGGATAGCCTTGCTGGGCATTGAGCTTTCCCTAGCATTCCAGCGGCTACAGAAGGCTTGAGCCTCCAGCTCCAGAGGCTGAAGGCCTATGGGTTCGCCGACTTCGGAGTTGCGCACCTTCTGCCCATGAGTGAAAAAATCTTCAGTCGGTCGTTTCCGCCCAGATTTGGGGTCTGGAGCCTAGGGGTGGGGGTCAGTGCAAGCCGGGGTCAGCCAGAGCGCCGGATCGGGCAGGATCCTTCAGAGCGGGGGGTGCACGGACCCAGGCTAGCGTGGAGGGTCCCCGCAGGATTTTGCAGGATCTTGCAAGGCCTGACTGGCCCTGTGTCAGTAGATCCCAAATTGGGCCCTGGGACCCTGGCGGATCGATCCAGCTCGAGAGACGCCGCAGAACGGTGGGGTCCAGGGTCCAGCCGTGATGTTTCGCGATGTTGTAGGTAGGTACTCGTTTCGCAACGTCGGACCTCAGGTCGAAGCACAACAACAGCAACATAAACACAGCGTGTTGGAGGTCCACGCGGGTTTCTTCTTGGATTGGCGTGGAGCCCCCCTGGCGGCACTTTTGGTGTCGCTCTTGGGAGGAGGGGATCCAGCGCCGATCCAAGAAACCTGCGCGGATCCCCCATGCGGGCGAGGAGTGAATCCATATTCGCTCCAGCTTGGAGTCTCGGGCTCATTTCCCAGAAACCCGAGGCGCCATGGATATGGAACATCAATCTGGCCTTCGAGGCCAGACGTTATCCACATTCAGCGCGCCTCGGCCTTTTGGGGCCCCTTTCCTAGAACATCCAAGACGCAGTGGACATGTATATGAATCTTGCCCGCACTCGAAGAATCGTCCCAGTGACTTCCTTCCCTGGGAGTAGTTCTTCATTCTCGGTTAATTTTTGATAGCCTCCAGGCCCCAAACGACACCGGGAGGCCGAACACGACGACAAAAGGCGAAGGCGACGAAAATGAACAGATCGACGATCAAAGCTGCATCACTTTTTCAGTGCAAGTGTGTGTTCGCTCTCAGTCACTGCGCCCTGGCAGCGCCCGGGCGCCCCAGCCCCCGCTGCTGCCGCGGTCCCCGCTGCCCTGGCCGGCCGCTCCGGCCCGCTCATCGCGGAACTCTTCCACGTCTGAGCGCCATCCCCCTCCTTCCTCGCGCTGCCGCCCTCGTCTTCGTCTTTCCCTCCTCGCACGCTGGACAATTTGCTGATCGGTTGCTCCGATTCGCCCCACGCTGGTGCGGGTTGCCCCTGCCTCGCCGCCGACGCAAAAAGTGTGTTCGCTCTCGGTCCTGGCCGCCCTGGCCCTCGCTTCCTCCCTCCCCCCCCTCCCCCCTCCAGCGACGGCGGCGACGACGACGACGCCCAGCGCCCCGCGGCCGCGAGGACGCCCGGGAGGACCCCGGCACGGCCCCTGCCTATCCGCCCGCTCGGCCTCCGGGGTGGGCAGAGGTGGGCAGAGGGGAGAGAACAGGGACGGGTGCCTCCATGGCAGAGCGCGCTTCGATCGAAGAAGACGACAGAGCGGCATAAACATAAACATAACATTTTGGCGCTCCGCGCTGGACTTCTTGGATCCGCACTGGGCCCCCTCCGGCGGCGCCTCCTGCGCCGCCCCTGGCTCGCTCCGCGCGCCAGGGAGGGGGGTCCAGCGCAGATCCAGGAAATCCGCGCGGAGCTCTAAAAGTTTTGACTATGGCCGTTTTCTTTCTTTTGTTCGATTCTTTCAGCTCGATGCGGTTAAATCTCGGCCGATCCCGATGCCGACTCGGCTTGCCGTCAGATGCCGATGGGGATTGTCGGTGCCTTTCAACCCGCCTGCCGACCTCCGCCGGTTTGACTTCTCACGACCTGGCTGCCAATTTCCGCTGATCCGACTCCTTTCGACTCGGCCACGCGCAGGAGGGGGGGAGGGAGGGGGGGAAGGCTCTTTAGAAGCACCCCTGCTTCTAAGATCAGGAGCGCAAAAAGGACGTACACGTACATGAATGCACGCTGGTCTCGAGAGTACGCATTGCGCAAATGATCGTATAACGCGGCCAGTCTCGTGGATCGAGGGGCCGTGTTCATGTACATGGCTGGGCGCGTACGTCCTTTGTGGGCTCCCTAAAAGAAGCCGTCCCCCCTCCCTCTACCCCCCTCGTGCGCGCCGCCAGGACTTGGCTGCCGATCTCCGCCGGTCCGATTCGCTTCGATCGCCGATCCGGCTCTTCGAGAGCCGAGAGACGGGGGCCTCCGCGGAGGCCTCCACCGAGGCCCGAGGTCACGGAGGGCCAGAAATCTCGATCCTCTATCTTCGATCCTCCTCCTCCTCCTGCGAGGAAGGGAGAAAGAGAAGGTACCGATGCCGCTATCTTTCCCTCGGTTTCGCCTTCAGTAGCCTCGTGGGAGGCCCTCATCGCCTGCGCTGAATTCGCGTGGAAATTGTGGTCAGAACGCATCCCATCAGAAATCTGGGGACAGCAGTATCGATACCTTGCCGGTTTCCCCACGACCCTCGGCATTCGATCTCCTTCCTAGTCCTCTTCTGCCTTGGCCTCGCACAACCCCACAGACCTGGACGTCGCAGCGGCTCTCGTGACGCCCGTTCTAATTCTACATCTCTGACTTCCGTGCGCCGTGTCCTAGCCCACGGCGGCCGCGGAGACACCGCGGAGGCACGGCTCGGGGTGAAGGATCACCACTGGGGTAAGGCATTGAGACCGAGAAAAGCCTCCGCTTCTATATCTCCCACACGTTGGAGATCTGGGACTTCCGGCGACGCAACGCCGACGACGACGGCGCCACGACCGCGGCGCCACGACCGACGTCGACACCGTGGTCGTGGCGGCGGTGGCGTCGTCGTCGTGACGCCGTCGTCGTCGGCGTGGCGGCGCCAGAAGTCCCAGAGCTCCGGCTTGCGGAGAGATCGAGGCGGAGGCTTCTCTCAGTGGGGCCCGCGTCCCGGACGAATTGCGACGTCGGGTTTCTGATTTCAACCGCGCACGCTCGAAGAACAGAAGAGCAGCGTACCCATCGGTCGTTGAAAGTACGGACTTTTTGATCTCCAGATTCCACCCTGCTTTAAGCGCTGTCCTACTTCAAGAGCAAGGATCGATATGTTTTTCGTGTGTTTGCTCTTATCTGGGAGGGCCCGAACCTTCCTGCGTCATGTAGTTCCTACTTCTTCCGACCGATGTGTAAACATAGTTTCGGAGTTCCCTTAGGATTTGTTTGGTCGGAGTCGGCGCTGGACACCGTCAAGAGATGCGCGCGCATCTCCGAACATGTGATTCCACAAACCTGTTAAAGCATGATGACACCCCTTCCTCCCCCCCCGGATCCCGAATGTCATCATTGTGCCGCCAAAATCCGCCGACCCTGTGTCGGCGTGTGTGAGGGGCTTGCCCGTTCCCATCGTTCGTCGTCGTCACCGTCGTCTCCTGTCCCTGCGCCCACCCTGTCCCTGGCCCAGTCGTCTCCTGTCCCTGCGCTCCCCCGTCTCTGGGCAAGCCTCCCCTCCTTCCCTTTCCCCCTCTTCCCTGGGCCCGTCGCCGCTCCCCCCCCGCTTTTCAAGGGCCTCCCCCTCAAGAGCAACGCTATCATTGATCCCTCCCCTGCCGAGGGGGGGCGGTCCCGGGTGGGGTCCCTCCCGGGTGGGGTCCCGGGGGGGTCCGGAGGGGGGGTCCGGGGGGGGTCCCGCGTCAGATACCATGGCCCCTCCTGCGGGGGGCCGGTCCCGGG